TGTGGCCAGCTCAGCCCACCAGGGGGCGGGGCTGGCTGGCATGTGGTGCTGGGGGATTGAACCGCAGTCCCTGTGCTTTGCTAAGCTTGTTCTTAATAGGTGCTTTAGACCACTGAGCCATCTCACCAGCCCCCTGTAATAGACTTTAAAAAGGTTTTCACCTATGACAGCATCTAATTCTGTGACCTGTTTTATCTTGCAGAAAACAGTGACAGTGAATTGGTTAATATATGATGAATCCTCACAATACAAATTGTTTCAGTGTCTGTTTCCTATATAAGCTTTGTTAATATATAATTTACATACCATAAAATTCACACATCTTTAATATGTGTAGTTTGATGCGTTCATATAAATACGTACAGCTGTACAAACATAAAATCCAGGTATAGAAGTTTTATGCAATGTCAGAAATTTCCATCCCACAACAGTGACACGGACTAGGTGGCTTAAACAACAAACATTTATTTCTCGTATTTATATAAGCTGGAAGACTGAGGCCAGGCCCTCTTCCTGGTTTGTACTCATTTGGAATAAATTCTCTTCTTTATCTCCAGATCAGATATAGAGATGTCTCTTCTTTACCTGTTCCTCGAGGCAGGTCAGGCATCCACTAACCTGCTCCCATCTTTCCTTTATTGACCTTTTCCACAGTGTCATGCAAATAGCTTCTTTTACTTAGCATGATATCTTTCAGGTTCATCAATGTTATTGTACGTTTGAGTTTTCCTTTGCGTTGTCTATCAGTTCTTTGTATGGGTATACACTACCGCATTTTATTTATCCATTAGCTATTAAGTAAATCAGATTGTTTCAGTTTAAATCACATATGAATAGTACTGCTATGACCACTTGCATTGTTTTTCTACAGAGATGTTTTCTTTCCTCTTGGATAAATAACTAGAAGTGAGGGGTCGGGGAGATGGCTCAGTGGGATAAACACTTCCCTGGCAAGCACAAGAGCCTGAGTTCAATCCCCGGTTCCACCAAAAAAAAAAAAAAAAAAAAACTCAAAAAGCAAAAAACTAGAAGTGAATTTCTGGGCTGTATATGTTTATTTTTAGTGTCTATTTTTTTATTATTATTTTTGTTTTGTATTTTAGGGAAGGGTCTGCAGGGTGATCAGGGTCTCACTACTAGATCAGACTCGTACTAATCTGCCTGTCTATAGCCTCTGAAGAGCTGAGATTACAGGCGTGCACTACCACGTCCAGTCTCAATTGCTGTCTCAGCGTGCCCCGGGGTTGGGGCCAGCAAGGCAGGCCCAGAGATTGAACCCCGGGCCCCTGAGCCTGCTTGCAGACGCTTTAATCCACTGAGCTACTTGACTGGTCTCTGTTTATTCTTTTTAGCAACTGCCAAACTCTGAAAAAATTTATCAATTTTTATTAGTATAAGTTTATGATTCATAATGAATGTATGCATCATGGGATACTAGTACGTATACATATCGAATCTTGTTTTAATTGTCCTTTCCTCCCTCTGTATCCTTCCAGCTCTAGATCTTCTTTCTGTCTCCATAAAGCCTATCCGTTCTATAGTCCTACTATAGTATTAGTGTCTATGAGGAAGTGTAGTGTACAAAAGTTCTAATGTCTCCAAAACCTCATCTGTGCTTGATTTTTTTTGTCCTTTTTTTTTTTCTTCAGTACCAGGGATTGAGCTCAGGACCTTGTGCTTCCCAGACAGGCACTTACTCTACTAGTCTGTCTCCCTGGCCCTATTGTCAGTTTTTAGGGGTTTTTTTTTTTTTTTTTTTTTTTTTTTTGGTGTTTTTTTTTTACTATACCCATTTTATGAGTATATTTTGGTATCTCATTATAGTTTTAATATCCTTTTCCCTGATGATTATGGTATCTCTGAAAGTCTGCATTACTCTTAAGTAATATCACCATATTTTAAGGCAGTTTTTGGAACTTTTTGGTCAGAATTTCTTAGACAAATTACTGGTCACATAAGGAATTCCATTTTATAATTTATCAATGGCTACTGGCTTAGTTTTTCTTTTTGCTTTTTATCTTAGTGTAGTTAGATCTGTACTGAGAACATGTTATTTTTATGTACGTGTTAGACCTTGAAAGATGGTAGAAGTTAGGCAGGCACTAGGTATATTTATCGGAAGTTCAAAGAAGAGGCTGCGGATGGAAGTTTGAGTTGTTAGATTGTAGTTACAGCTATAAGAATAAGTGTGATCACCAAACAAGATTTAACAGAAGTCTGACAATTCTCAGAGGAAGAATTGAGTAGGTCCAAAAAAAGTTTCAGGAATGCCCTAAGGCCAAAAGATCAGGAACTTTTGAAAGAAGCATATAAGCATGTTATGGTTTACCTTCCTGCATGAAATGCTTCAATTAAAAAAAAAAAGTCTTCAGTGTTGTTTTAAAGAATATATGTTTTGCTAAGAATTGAATTTTCTTAACATCAGTGACAGTTGTACTTTTTTCTTTTTAATTATTTGGGGAATTATTAATTTTTTTCTAGAGTGGTATAGTTTTTAATTATGAGACATCCTCATTTTTTACTAATTTAATATCCAATTCATTCTATTCTGATCTGCTACATATATTGCAAATATTATTTATTGACTTCATGTACCTTTTTTTATTTCTAGGTAAATACTGTGGTCTGGGGCTACAAGTGAACCACTCAGTTGAATCAGAAAACAATGAAATTACAGTGCTCTTCATGAGTGGAATCCATAATTCTGGACGAGGATTTTTGGCTGCATACTCAGTTATAAGTAAACAAGGTAATTTTCATCTTACAAAGTGGCTTCTGCATTTTGAAGTTTTTCACAAAGCACTGAGGAGGCCGAGGCAGGAAGATCACTACAAGTCTGAGCTGTGTAGTGAGATTCTGTACCAAATAAATAAATAAAGCTTAAAAAAAAAATTCTTTCTAGGTACTTGTTATCTGGAGTTAGAAAGTTAGAGTACAAAAACAAAAGAGTTAATAAGGCACATATAAATCTAATGATTATATCAGTTTCAGAGTCCCATAAGTAAGCATATTCAGTTTTATATGAAGCCCATATGCATCTTCTTAGTAGAAGAAATACTCACTTTTCACTTTTATATGACTGGAATAAGCTATAAAGTGTTAAAAATTTGTGAATTATTAAGAGGTACAGTATCAACTTAAGGTTTATTGTCCAGTTTACCATTTTCATAGTCTGTTTTAAGGACCATATTTCCATGCTTTTTAAATAGGCCCTTATACCACCAGAAACACCCTGGTAACAGCTGAGGTGGTACAAAATAAACAGGACATGTTTCTGAATTGTTAATGTTTAGAATCTGGAGGGGGGGCAGGGATTAGAATAGAGTGTGATAAAATGCAAAATCCGCATGAAACTTGTCGCAGTTGCTGTGACCAAAATTCATTCCCTTCTGCTATTTGGAGTACTGTGATGAGACAGTGTTGCTACTACAAGGATGTATCGAAGCAGCCATTTAAATTAGGAATCAATGATTGTTTTTGTATTCAACAATAAATTAAGTGGATCATTTAAAATTTGAAATTAACATGTAGTGCATTTTGTGTAAATGAGAACATTATCAAGACTCTTGGGTATGAAAATATGGAGCACTAGGAATGACAAAATGAAGCATGCTGTTCCCTTCAGTGGTAGCACGTTTGAAAAACCAGGGTGTCTCATGAAAACATTGAGAACATAGTGCCTCGGGGAGAGGAATTTTCTACATGGCGAGCAGTTTGCTTTCCTTTGCTTTATAAACTATGGAGCAAAGTGTAAAGAGTACCAACATCTTTTAGAGAAAATGAAAAAGGGCCATGTGGGATGTCCCAGCACCCAGAAGCTGAGGCAGGAGGATCACTGTAGGCTTAAAGGCAGCATAATGAGTTTAAGGCTAGCTGAACTATATAGCAAGACCCTGTCTCAAGATATAAAACAAACCAAGAAACAAATAGAAGATAAAAAATTTCATTTGGATGGAATAACGGAAAGACGGAATAATATTTTTGACAGAGCTGGAGAAACTAAGAGATCATATTGTGTCATAATCAGGTGGCCCTGGGATTAAAAGCTGACTCTACATACTAGCCTAATGACTTGGTGCAAATCATTTCACCTCCACAGGTCACATGTACGAATGGATTAGTTGTGGGGACTAAATCTTGTAGTATCGGTAGGTATACTGGGTAAATAGTGGTACTTACCCCTCATCCACTGCAAACACTTGTAGTGACCCTGCCCCACAAATATCATTAAAAGGGTAATATAGAGAACACATAAGGATATGATAGCAGATTATCATTTCAGTTTTGCTCTTTGAAAACCTTGAATTGATAGAAGAGAGGATAAAAAATAACCTGTTTTGTTTCTTAACTCTCAAGTTTCATGGTCTTAATATCAAGTTAAATATTTAGTTTGATTAGTATTTTCTCCTTGTTGTTTATCATATTAAAGACTACTGGAAAACAAATATTCTCTCTTATTTTTAAAAATGCTTCTTACATTAGATACTTAAATTGTGGAGCTTTTTGGCCCACAGAAATTTAATGTCCTGCATTAAGATTTCTTAAAGAAATGGTAGTAATCTCAGATAACAGAATCAGTATGCTGTAGATGTATTAGTCTCCATCCAATTTCAGATGATTCTTAGCTTCCAAAATTCATTCTACTTTAATTAAAGGAACATCTGGATGGTAAGATTTTCCAAAGTGATGATCATCTTGTGAAATCCTCTTTCACAGCTGTCTCCTGAAGTCTTCCCCCCCCCCCATGGCTTATCCTATCAATCAAGCATTTATTTCATTTGAACTGAAGTGTAACTGTATGCAAGAGAACCTTAGTTGAGCTACTCGTTACTTCTTGCATGGCCTTTCATTAACTATTCCTTATAATGATTTGTGCATTTGAAGCCTGGTTGGCCTTGGTTGAGATCCTCATTTTATTTCCATCCAGGAAATTTAACTGCTAAATGTGCTTTCAGGGAACATTATTACTATGTGTTCCTAGCTTAGCATCTGGTTGAAGGTTTAGAGTGTTTGGGAATAAAAGTGTAAATCTTTTTGCTTCAACAGCTACTTTATTTGTTACATACTCCGACAAAGACTTTCTATTGTTTTTATGCTGTTGCTAGAGTGGTGATTTCATCCCAGATAGACAAATCTTCATTATATTATACAGGACCTCATTGCAAAATTATATGCCCTTCGAAGCCTTTTTTCCTGCTCTATTGGTTTTGGGGAAACAGCAATAATTAAGACAGATACAACCAACCTTTCATGGAGCTAATAGTACAAGAATGGAGAAAGACATTTAAACAAGTGGCTCTTCATTTGTGGTTAAGATTGGAGGCCAGAGAGGTGCAGGGAGAGAGGACTGATGAACAGCACTGTCCTGAGTATATCACGTTTAACCTCAGAACTGAAGGACTAATTAGAGATGTATAACAATCTCCATAACACTTTAGGGAAGTAACCAGTAAGGGCAAAGGCCTGCTGGTGGAAAGGATCTTTGCGAAAATAAAGGGAAAAGCCATTGTAGCCAGAGTGGAGTGGAGTCCATAGGTAAATGAGTGGTAAATGAGTAGATCTCCATATTGGAAGCCTTACAAATGACATAGGGTAGAACTTTTTCTTAAGAGTGCTTAGAAGTTGGTGCATCTTTTTCCATAACATGAGATTTACATTGTTGTTTGTTTAAAGCCTTTTCTTTACTCTGAAGTGTAGCCCAAAAGAAGTAAGAGCAAATGCAGGAAGGCCTTGTAAGCTGCTATTAGCAGAGACCAGATGATCAAATTAAGGTCTTCTCAACTATGCAGCAGAATTATGTAGGTTTCCAAAGACATTACAACCAGGAAGCATTTCAGAGGATTAGGATCACCCTGCTATGATTTAGATTGTAGTTAGAGACTTTGCACATAAGGATAAGGCTCAGAAGCACCCTAACACCCAGCCCTATCTCGGACAGTATGCTGCTCCTCTAGTGACTTTTTTTGATTGTTTCCAGTTTCTACAAAACTTTGGCTTACCCCAGGTTATTTTAATTATCTTTAAGAAGTAGTTTCCAGAATTTTTCTTTACCAGTTTTGGAAAGAAATCACAGCTATGAGTGAAAGGAAAAAATTCCACTTTCCCATGTAGAGCAAACAAAGAGATACAACTGTGAAGCAGTACTTCTAGCAAATTATGAGAGGATTAGTATTTCTATTTTAGATAGGTGTAAACCCACCCAATCCCAACTAGACTTTGAGCAACTGAAGATGTCTATCTATGGACCTTTGAGGTGCCCTGGAAATTCTTTGCAGAACTGGGGATTGAACTCAGGCCCTTGCGCTTGCCAGGCAAGCACTTATTCTACTAAGCTATCTCCCTAACCCTGCCCTGGACATTCTTAATAACACTTGTTACAAGATATGTAGCGAGAAACCCCCAAGTCACTGCCGGTCTAATTGAAAGTGGCAGAGCTGATAACAAAGAAATCCAAACTTGGTAACTCAGGTCTTACTATCTAGTTTAATGACAAATGCTGCTGACAAATACTTACTTGGCAAGGGAGATACCATGATCATGAAGGTGGTTTTCCCAGGACGAGGCTTATCCATTGCACTTCGGATGTGATGACACCTGGGATTTCCCCAAATGCGGGAAACTCGACTGCATAATTTGTGGTAGTGGGGGACTGCATTCCCGCTTTCAGCTGTGATATGGTTTAATATGAGTTTCGGGGTACCTTGATTTGGTAGTTTTGTTTTTTCCAATTTGATTGTGTTCTAAGCCTGGTGTGTGGAATTCAAGAGGAAACTATACCTGGTATGTTTAGGATCGAGTAAAACACAACCATTGCCCAACTCTTTGTAGTTCGAATGATATCATAGTTACCTCATGAGTCCTCAACAACCATCTTCAGAACCTGTATTCTAATAAGATTGAAAACAGAAGAAATGGAGAGGTTTCTGGATACGTAAGAGTTACCAAAGCTGGCCCTAGAAATTTTAAAAATTCTGAATAAATTAATTACCATCAATGAAACTGAAGATGTAATTTAAAACTTACTAATAAAGGAAATCCCACGTTCTCACAGATTCAAGACTCAATTCTACAAGAAATGTAGAGAAGGCCTAATGCCAGTCCTTCTCAAATACTTTATGGACATTGAAAGAGAAGCAGTACTCCCAAACTGATTCCTGGAGGCAGGAATTAGCTGATAGCAAACCAGAGAATGAATCAACCAGAAAAGGGAAGTACAGGCCTATCTGCCTCATGAAGACTGGACACAAATATCTTCAATAAGATACTGTCAAACAGAATGCGGCAAATCACCAAGATTGTACACCATGACTAAGCAGGATCTATCCTGGGGGTGTAGGGATGCTTCAACATATGCCAAAGAATGGAAGTAATAGAGTGGGTGTAGTGGTACCTTCTTGGAATCCCAGCACTTGGGAAGTGGAGGCAGAGGGTTGCAGAGAGTTTCAGGGCAGCCTGGCTTACACAGTGAGTTCAAGGGCAGCCTGAACTGCACAGTGAGACCCCGTCTCAAAAACTAAAATAATAATTCAAAAAATTATTAAATATAACATACATTTATTAGCAGAGCCAAGAACAAAAACCAAATGACTAACACAATACATGCAGAGAGAGCATTTGACAAAGTCCCAAACCCATTCATGATAAAAACCTCACAGAATATTGGAATAGATGGTGTGTATTTCAATCTGATAGAAGTCATCAATGAGAGCCTGTGATGGCAGATGCAACAAGAGACCCTGACAGGGGCTG